CCCAGTTGTCCATGGTCAGTTAAAGACAATGTGAATAAAAATCGAATGGGTCTTTAATGCTTAAGCATCGAATTCGTTCGTTATTTGAAACAACAACAACAATCGGTAACAATGAAGAGTTTACCCGGCAAAGAACCCGCAGGTGAAATATCCAGAATGAACAGTTTCGTTCCTGCCCGTTGGAGTTACATCAACATGTGCTTCGTTATTCTTGAGATACTGTGCACATTTAAAACAATAATTCACCGACACACGAATGAGAACCAAATGAAAAATCTGGAACTGGTGAAAAAAATGTATAATCAACACCCATGGGATGCCTAATATTAATCTCACACATGTAGGTGGCTTCTACTAACATTCGACCTAATCAGTGAGAATGGAGTGATATTCAGTACGGGACGTGATCATACTGTCTGGCTACTCCGGCATTTAGCCAGCATAATGCGTAATTGGCGCGCAATACGTCCGAGTAGATTGGGCACCGGATTAAGTACTGCAAAGAAATATAGTGCACAATGAGCCTAGGCAACGTTTCTCTTAGGCGTTGGAGACATTACTCGTTAGTAGGTAGATGCTGAACTGCGCATTATTTTGATGGGTTTAGATAAATAATTTTATATAATAATATATAATATATAATATATATATATATAATATATATATAATAATATAATTTTATGGTACCTCTTTAAATCAGATGAGGACGAAAAAACGTAAAACCAACGATGCGTTGAGCTCTTGTGAGTATGTGTTTCAGATGTTCATAGTTACCCATTGTAACAGATACGGCATCAAAGTAACCCTGGTTTGAAGAATATAAAAGGGACAGGATAGATCAGTCGGTTTCCGGGGAGGGGAGTGACAAAACCTGCTTCCGTTCCCTGCATGCAATTTTAGGAACATCTTTTGTCTGAAGTGAACGTTGAGAGCTTCTATGTCAAAACGTCTTTTCAACCCATCTTAAGAAGTACAATGAGGCTGAATTTGATGACCTGTCGAGGATCCATCGGTTGAATTATTGTACTGATGATATATTTGGTCCCCCGTTCTGCTGACAGCGCAAATGGCAAAACGTTTGAAGTTCTATATCATTTAGGAGAGGTAACAAAGATCAGTTAAACTAGGCATACATTACTCCCTCGTGTGGGCTCTAACAGAACACAGGAGCCTTCTCCGAAAAGAGGTCATTTTACTGCAATCTGCCCCGTAGTTTTGGTAGTGGATTCAATACCGGAAGGTGGCCAAAGCGCCAGTTTAGAGACCTCCTTAAACCTTCAAAACTCCATTTGATCGTGTTTTGGTGTGTTGGTTTTCGAATTTCAATGGGCACCATTTTAATCAGAACAGTTATTGTAGAGTAACAGGTTTACGGTTGTTTCGCCCTCAGACCAGTGCAATTCGATTTGTGGGAAACAAAAAAAACAGAGTAAAAAGTCAGAATCAGTTCACAAGAGAAGAGAACGGGTCACACGTCGTATGATCCAAACTGTCCTAGATTAGTGAAGCGCACTAAGAGATCGAAACCAATTATATCGCACTATCGTCGGTGACATCTGTCGTTCTTCGCATTCTCTAGGCTAAGGGGAACCGAGAGCCTGAACCAATTTTCATACTACACACAGTTGCGACTTTACCGTTTCGCTTTTATACTTCGTCCTGTGTCTGTTGAAACGGTGGTGGTGACGCAGTGGTTTAGTCGCTGTCACCGGCGTGCTTTGGACCCTATGGTCTGAGGTTCGAGCCCCGC